TTGCTCTTTTAAAAGTGGGACTAAGGTAACTTGCTTCTACTTCCCCCCCCCCGCCTTTTCTGATTTCCTTTCTCTGGTTTCCGTCTGGTGGTCTTTTTGCTGCTTTTGTGTATTCCATGTTCCCCTGCAGATGGGAGGAATTCATGCATAGTCAAGGATATAGAATGAGATAAAATACCAGCCAAGGTGAACTCTAAGTACTGCTTACTGCTGTGTATTTGTTTTATTTTCCCAATGCATGGAGCCATGTGAAATTGCAGAAGTGCCTTCAGTGGAACAGATGGAAGCATTCATCTCATTTGGCAAGAGAGGCTAATGATATGTGCTTTGAGAGATGTGACCTTAAAACAAAAATGGTATAACTCAATGTGCTTAAACAAGCGTGGTTTCCTTCACAAGTTGGAATTCAGTTGCAGATGGGAAAATATTTGAGCCTTAAATTCTACCTGAATAACTGTTGTTAAAACAGCTCTGTGATTATCTTAAATGAGCGGATCTTGTAGAATGCTTCAAAAGGTGAGGGAATTCATGCTGATTAGACCATCAATAAAGAGAACCTACCCTTAAATTTGAGGCTGAGTTTTGAAACTGTTATATATGGGAGATTGGAAGAGAGCGAGTTTCCTTGCAATCAGTCAGCAAGCAGCATGCTTGGTGGAGTGTTGCAGTAAATGGGACTGGGTTTATGGAGCTGTGCAGAACCAAGCACTGTGTCATCTGATGCCTTCTGTTATTCCAATATCAGAGTAGTGTATGCTTCCTTCAGTCTGATCTTCTCCATAGCAAAGCTATCCGCTAGGGCAGTCCGTTACCTACATCTTTAATGGCACAGCATTAAAGTGACTTGTCTGTGGTCACAGAAGGAATCTGACACAGAGCTCAGTAGAACCCTGTTCTCCCAAATCTCTGGTTAGCATTTAGAGCCCTGTGCTCTCCCCCCTGCTCCCCTCCCCCCCAGCTATAGCTGCTCAGGATTTTCTGTGATGGACACTTCAGCATTTGAATACAGGCAATGTTCACCTTGGTAATAACCCAGTTCTAAATTAGTCTTCATGTGCTGCAGTAGGAGCATCCTATTTTCAAATCAGTAGGGACACAGAGGTAAAATGATCTTGCAAGACTGCATAAAAGTCCAGAGTAGGGTCAGAAATAGAAGCCAGGTCTTCAGACTCTGTCTTGCGCCATTACTGTGTCACCTGCCTTCCTTTCTTGGTTTCATTTGTATTTCACATAAGAAAAATCAGATTGCTTTACTCCAGTACTCCATATTACCCCTGTGGGGTTTCTTTGATTTGTTTGGTCTTCCTGATTCAAATAGAGGGAAATGTGCTCCAACAAAGAAAACCCTTCCTCTGTTAGCTTTTGCATACAGGCTGGTATAAGGTGAATGAAATACATGGACCTGAGACTTGTACCCCTCACTTCTTGAGGGGGAATGATGTTTTAGTCAGACCACTTTGTTTCTTTCCTCTTTACAAAGACCTAAGAGCTAGTATGGGAAGTAACAGAAAATGTAGCTTTTGATGAAATATAGTCAAATCATAATATCTGTTTAACATCCTGATATTACATAGATGTTACACGCATCTATGTATGAGTCAGTAAAAGAGGCTTTGACTCATGGTCCCACCTTCACAAACACGGTGCTTCATAAGAGTGGTTGATATACTGATGGTGCAACGCCAAGTGTCTTTGGATAGCACCTGGCTGTGGCATTTTAAATGAGACGGCAGCTCCCAGCTTTTAGTGAATACTAAACTCTGCAAGGCTGGGAGCTGCTATTTTACCTAAGAGTGAAATACTGTCTGTGGTAGAGAGGATTTCCTGACTTTCTCTGGATTTGGGTATCTGCTATGCCAAGAGCTGGAGCCCCTGCTTTGCATTATGATGTACTGTTGGATCTGGCTTGCTTCTTTGAGAGGCAACTTCTTTCACCAATTAATGTAGAAATGTTATCTATATTACAGTCTGCATATCATCACTACTTGTTTGTGAGGTTGTATTGTGGGTGTGCTGTTTGACTTCCACAGGTTCAATTGAGCTAAGAAATTATTTGAGAAGGTAAATCAAATGGCTAAAGAAAATAAAGTAAGCACTGAAAGACTGATTCAAATCAAATATTTTGTGTGTGGTGAAGTTAAACCAGTAGGATTTCTTTGAGAGTGGCTTGCCTGAATACACTGGAAGCATTTAAGATGCAAACTGGTGGTGTCAGTTACCTGTCCAGGAAGAGCTCTACATCAAAATCTTTGCAAACCTAAACTGAGCTGCATAAAGACAAGAATGCACAGAAATGCCCATTTTCCTCTTTTGTGTATTTTAAATTATTTTTAAAAATACGCTGATTTTCCTCTTTTGTGTATTTTAAATTACTTTATTTTTAAAAATATGCTATTATGTAACTTACAGTTCTTCAGAATGGTATGATGTCAGGTGTTACCATTTTGCAATGGTCTTAAGAGGCTGCAAAATTAATAGAAAATGCATTGTCTTCTGATTCAGAAGTAACTCAGTATTGTGAATCTGCCTCCAGGCTTTGTCTGCTTGTAGTTTTGTTTAATGCTGTGTTTTGTTGATATTGTTGCTGGAGAGAGTTTCTCTTACCCAAAATAAGTTGTTCTTTGATAGTCTGGTTGTTTCCAAGGAAATTCTTGTTTGTTTAGTAACAGCGAGGTGACAGGGAGTCTCAGCTGAAGAGGTAGTCTTAACTTGATTCAGACAAGTGTTTTTGTTTTGGGAATTATTTTTTTTTTGACTTCCCATCCATGCTGGCTCTGTACTAGAGCAAGTGAAAGAAAGAAATCTTTCTACTTTGATTACCTTATACCTAAATGTCTCTGGCACAGGCTAGGAGATCTTGGGAGGTTTTGAAACTAGTTTTCAAGCCTGACTATCCTCCCACTATTATCATTGGGTAAGCCTGTTATAATTTTCTTTTCAGTGCACTGTATTAGGGTTTGTTTCACCTGTCTATTATCATTGGTCTGGTTGTTTGTTGACTGTAACCAGTCTTGTTGGCTGATTATTTACAGTTGTCTTTGTCCTTTTGAGCTAGAGAGTTCTAAAGTCTGTTTATGGTGGTCAGTATTTTGGATAGTCAAATTATTGTGCTCTAACTCTGTCGAAATATAGGAAAAAAATTAATGTTGCTTTTCTTGAGTGTCCGCAAATGAACTGTGAATGTTCTTTAGTATTTCTTTCTCCCCCCAAAAAATATTAATTCTGTGTGTTAAGTGATAGATTCTTTTTGCAGTGATAGAGGAAGCATGTGGTCCATTTTATCTAGCCTAAGTTAAAATACCTCACTTAATGGAATAATTATTTGTACCAAATATATTCAAGTTATGCTTCTGTAAAATGCCCTATAACTCTCTCTTAGGTTGGCCATGAATATTTCTGCCTCCCCCCACAGTGTTCTCTGGAAGAAATGTCTGTTTTACAGTAATTCAATTTGCAGGTGGTTTAGGTAGGATTTTAAATAAACAAACAATAAACCCAACCAACCACACAAAAACCTAACTTAAACAAAAAAACCTAACAAAACCTGTAGCTGAGATTTCTTCCCCACACACATACACTTAGGCAGACTTAGCAGAACATACACCACATGCTTTCCATGCAGTTCTAAGTCTAGAGTCCCCAATTTTGTCTCTGCCAACAAATTGTGGAATAGAAGACATTTTAAAATGGCTTGTGATATTCTGCATAGGTCTCAGTTATTGCAAGTCTCGCAATATTTCATGCATTTTCTTTCCCATGTGGACTAGAAATGATCATGGGTTTTAGAAATTTGATTACTCTTTAATGAGGTTTAGACCCATGAGAAGAATGGATTGATTTACCATCTTCAGAAGGCACAAAGCATTGTTGGTCCCAGAGACTTGAAATACCCCTCAATGGACAAAATTTTCAAAAAGTAGCAATTTCAGTTTTTACCTGAAGATATGAAAGAAAAAAAGACACCAAAACCAGATATCTGCCATTGAGGTGTTAGGGTTTTTTTTTTTCTAGGTGCAGGGGGATTTAATGCATTTGTGGGATGTCAGAGTCAATTTAATCACAAGTCACTTAAAGGTTTAGGTATTAATGGAGAAGGAAATGCTTGGTGTAGGCTTTAGGAATTAATTTAGATCATAAAAGACTGTCATATAAAAGCTTTCCTCCAAATCTCCTCAGCAGCAGAGAAGTTATGGCAATTAAAAGTCTGCAGGATGTGAAAAGTATTCCAGGAGGGAGAGAAGGGTGGGATCTTGTTTCGTCCTAAGCAATGGCTTCCTAGTATTGGCATGACTCCGACTACAGAAGAGGAAGAAAAATAGTGGTGCTGTGGTTACACAATTGCTACTTGTTAGTGCTTCTTTCTCTTCCCTAATACACCCCTGTTGTCCATGCTCAGAATTCTGTTTGCTGACAGCTGTGTCATTGGGAGGGTATGTTTCCCTAGTGGAATGTTTGCACAGGTCAGCAGTTTAGGCTTGGATAGCAAGGCCTTCTGAACAGAGAATGGGAATATTAATTTAGAGCTTTACGCAAGACAGATGGTTTTTGGTGTTGCAAATGATGCTTATATAGCATATGTTTTCAAATAGCTGTTTAAACTTTATTCTACTTAACTGTGTATTTCACAGAGAAGTTACATTCCTGTTCTATGTATGGTGAAACTTGACTGGTTACCTAGAGGGAAAGGGATATTGCTCGTTCTCAGCTGGGTAAACTCCAGTCTCTCTTGACCTAAATGCTTAGATAAGAAAGGTCTTTTAAAAGGAAGATTGTGGTTTCAGTTGAGATATATTTATGTCTGTTTTTTTAAAATCCTTGGCTACCTGTTATATAGAAACACTTATACAAGAGAGAGGAGGAGCTGGATCTTCAATATATTTTTCAAGAGATATTCTAGAAATGTGACCATCTCAACTCTTTATTTGCATAGTTTTAGGACCCAGAATATTTTCGGAGTGGAGCAGAACACAAATTTACCGGAGAATGTTAATTTTACTTTAATGGCGTTTCGGCATGGTGAGGGGATGCCTTGAATTTGGGGGGTGTGGTCTATTAGTGAACATAATAAGGAAGACCTGCATTTCAGAATAAGATTTATTATAAAACATGGTATTAATTTCAAGATCTCCACAAGTGTGCTTAATAGTGATTATGTAATGCAGCTTTTAAAATGAGGTTTTCAGAACTATGTGTTTACTGAATGAGGGTAGAAACCCTAGTGCTACCTTTTTACAGTGCCTGTGTAACAAATCCTGAGCCCTTGTTTTAGGTATAACCACAGAAATTTGTTTTCTCCTGACAGTTAAAACCTTTATCTGTGTGATGGTGATCACCCACTTACTGCTTGCTGTGGCAGTACAAATTGGAATGCTTAGGTCCTTGCCTGGAGCGTAAATGTTTGCTTCCAGATGAGGGCAAACTTTATCAAGTCGAATGGGTATTTATAGGACTGTAGAAAGGAGTGGATATGTTGTGGACAGGTGTTGGGGTTGAGAGTTGGCAATTAGGAAATGGGAGCTGATCAAATTTTTGTCTCACTTACCTGGTGTACTTTGCCTGACTATCAATTTGTATGAAGTAATTAAGAAGTACCTTTTTTCTTTCTCCTGCAGGCTGGTACGTGGTCTGGCAATTGTTTTTGTCTAAATTCAAATTCCTGAGAGAATTGATAGGTGATACGGGGTCCCAACAGGGAGACAACGAGCCTTCAGAGACTGAAGCTGAACAGGAGACTCCACCCTCACCCCAGAGAGGTAGACAGAAATCTGCTCGACAGCGAAGGGCACCTACAGAAGACACAACTTAAAGTACTCCATTGAACTTCTGACTAACTATGAATGGTTAAGCACCTCTGCACTGTGTCATTCAGTGGTTTGATCTTATTGAAAAACTGACTTAAGAGGTAATATTAATACCTGGGGACCTTCTGAACTGCCAATGTATGCTACTTCGGTAGAGGTTCAGGGAGGGCTTCAGCAGCAAGCCATAGAATACTGAAAGAAAGGAGGGGTGGAGAGAAATCTCCATCAGAAAAATGCTGAGCTGCTGTAGTTCCTGTCTCTGTACACAGATTTAAAAGAGGTCCTGGACCATAGGCTTAGCCTTTGCATTAGTCTGAACATAGTAAACATTTCAGATTCGAAATGGTTTCTAAATTATTTTTTTCTTTACAGCACTGTAACTGCATATAGTGAAATTGAGTTTTATTTCCTTAACTACATGAGTATATATTTTTTCTTCAACCGAGAGAATGCATGTGAACTTGAAAAATGGTTGAAAGAATATCTTGTTTTAGAAAGTATTCTAAAGTGAGATTTTAGTTATGTTCTTATATATATAAAAAGTATAACTGAAATATGAAAAATCAATATTAGATGCACATGATTTGGAGGTTTTTATTATCTCCTTTAAAAAAAAAGGTAAAAAAGGAATCGGGTGGTAAGACCTGTTTTCTTGGGTTTGGTATAAGAAGGGTTACAGGTTAAACAGTCCTGCTAGGTTTCTGTAAGTTTTTCCTGAACCTTTTACTCAAAGTCCAACTTGTGTTGGAGAGGGGTAAGGTGCCTAGGTTATGTACGAACTGTTTAGTATTCTGAAGTGTATCTTGGCTTTTTGGATACTAAGCAATTCTCGTGTTCACTTTGTACACCTTTACATCAGGTATGTGGTACCTGACATAACTTCTTTCCTGGAATCAGTTAAGGCATTCTCACCAACTTGGTAAATGTCACTGTAACACTTCAATAGTGTTATAGCAATGAATTTGGTACCTCGTGTTTGCTGGAGGACTTACTGATTTTTACCAGTAATAAGCAGTTGCTCCTGTTTTCTTTGAGGGTGAGTTATACAGCTATTTTGACATTGCACTTCAGAATGAAGAGTTCTACTTCTGTTTATTTAGCAACTAGGAAGACTGATGCATGAGCTCTTTGGGAAGAGGAGGAACATGCACATACCACCTCTGTGTGTATGAGGGGTAACTACCAACACGTCTTGTCACAAACAGCTTCAGTTTTCTCTCAAAGCTTGGATATGTGGTGGTGTTTGGATCAATGTTCCCCGTATAAAAACTTTTAAACGGGACTACAGAATTGGTCTCGTACTTTCAGCTGTTAAGAAATTTAAACCTATGACTCCCAAACTTGTGATTTGGTTCATTTATATGGCTAAAAGCAGCAAAATTTAGCTTTTTCGTCAAGTAGGTCTACATGTAGGAAAAGAGCACTCTTTTAGTGCCTTTAAGTTTTGTCATGTGAGTACTGCTCAGAAGCTAATGAGAACATTCACTTCATAAGATTATTTGGATGTTTCAGTATTAAAATATATACGATCAGCCCTGACCTTCTTTTGGAGTCTAAAAGTCTTTGTTTTGTTTACTAGCACGTATATATAAGCAATCTTTGTATTACAGGGTTACATTTTCAAGCAGGTTTAGGCAGTACTATGCACGTATCCTTTAAGTACGTGGAGAAATATTGATAGTCTCCTTCCTCTATCCTGTCTGCTTGCAATGGAATGCCTAATGATTTTTAATTAGTAAAACTCGCACTTATTCAAACTGAGCAAAAGCAATCACATTTTATTTCCTGCTGCTTTCAGTTGTTTGCCTTGCACAACTTAGACACAAGAATATTGTGACATTGTCTTTTCACATGATGAGACTTGCAGTTTATCAGGGCTAACCAAGTACTGGTGTATTTTTCTTAAGAAATATCTTTAGCATCTTTGTCTTGAGCTTTGCTAACATAGGCTTGCAAATAAAGTTTTTTTTTTAATTTTTTTTGATACTGACATAGAATATTGACACTCCGCTGCACTTCACTTTTACCTAGACTTTAGCACACAGAAGATGGCAAAAGGCTGATGCTTGTAGTATCCCTGGCTGAGATGAGTAACAGTTAGCTTAGTCTCTGCTTCCAGTAGCTGTGAAGAAATGTGAAGTTACAGCAATATACATAGCCAGTCAGGGTAGCTCTAAAGGTGCAAGAATCAAGACTCTGGAGCAAGTTAATGAAGGAAAAATCCATGTGGGTTTGAATGCTGACACTGATCAAATATGCAATAAGATGGATGTGGAACCTCTGGGTAGCTTATCTGCTCTAGCCAAACAACTTCCTTCTCCCTTCCTTGCTGTATGTAGGTGTACATTTCACTCCTCAAAGTTATATTCAGTCTTTTTTTCTTTTTTAAAGAGCTGATGCTATTTTTTTTGATGTTGCTGTGACATAGCTGCCAATAATGCTGTCTGCCCAGTGCATAACTTTAATGATCCTATTAGTAGCAGGCCAAAGGTTTATATTATGTGCTTTGGAAGAATTTTGGAATGCTGATGTCTTCTGTCAATGCATAATTTCTCCTGAAGGAGTCTCTAGTAAAATCTTTTCTCTAGTAAAATCTTTGTACAGGGCACTTCATGCAAACCTGTAAAAGCAAAGCTGTATGTGTGAAAGTGTACTTGTGATAAGACCTGGGTTGTGATTGCTGGCAGTCCAATATACTCATGTCTTTGAATATTTTTATCAATGTACTTCTGAAACGTTACTGGTGGGTAAGCACTTCACTTTGAATGGACCCATTCAAGTCTGAAAGCTTATGAAGGCAACAGGTTACACGGTTTGTTTTGTTTAGTAGGATCTATTTTTAAAACTGTTTATTGCCTTATTGTTGCAGCCATTCTCTTGAATGTAATTGGGGTTCTTATTTTAAATGTAGTCATATCACCTTTGTTGCAGGGGCTGTGTAACTTTGAATAAGCAGTAATCACCTATGTTGTATGTGACAGTTAATTGAAAACAGTTACTGCAATGAAGGCTGGAACAAACACAGTGTAGACTGGTGGAAAAAAAATACAAAAGCTATTGCTGAAACTTGAGTGGTGTAAACAACGCTGTTTGTGCTGAATTGCATAATTCAGACCTGTTAGGGAGCCACTAAGGTTATTATTGTGGTGATTTAATGTTTGCCTGTGAGGCTAATTCTGTGCACTTCATCCACTAAGCACTGCTGCTGTAGCTGTTGCAGTCAATGCCATATACTGTGCTGCAATTTGTGAGCAACTTGCTGCTTAATATCAGGTTTTACACTGAACTACACCCGTGTATGTATTTCTTTTTGTTTGGAAATGACCAGCACAAAGAATGTGTTCAGTGTGGTCATTTGCTTCAGTGTTATGATACTGTACCTAAAGCTTCTGTGGTTGTCTGTTTTCATTGTTAACTGTTCTTTTAACTGACTGCACAGATGAAAAAATAAAGTAACCAGACTTGATAGGAATATTTGATCCGAGTGGTTTTCTGACTTTTTTTTGAAAGGGATTTTGCTTGTGGAATAAGACTTCTTGTTTGAGAGTGCAACACTACAAAAGCAGATTTGTCAAAAGTCACATTCTAGCTGGTGTAATACCTACAGATTACTTAATTTTAAAGGGCAGGTTAGGGTATATCTTTTAGAGGAGTAGTTATTAAAGGTATTTTTTCTGCCTGATCCTTGAAAGTTGTCATTTCATTTTAGCAATTAGAAAACCCAAACAAACAACAAACCCAACAAAAATCAACCCACCTCTTCCCTCCTTTGTTCTCGATACTTTTAAGATTGGTTTTAGACTTCTTAATTTTTCTAAAAGTAAGTTGATGAAGTAGTAAGTTCTTCCTTTGAAAATGAAGATGGAGAAGGAAATGAGAACATGCTTCATCCCTAATTGCCTCTGTTAAGCATACAAAGCATTATTGCTGAAAGCTGGGTAGAATGGAGGCTTTTTCACACTACTTCATAGACTGCCTGAGAAGAGTTTGCATCTGGTCTAGTGCTTATGTTGATCTGTAGCAATGTTGGACTTGGCTTCAGGCAAAAAGAAGGACAAGGTGGACCTGTGGGTGGGCAGAGCAGCACCATGGGCAAACACCAGAACTAACCAGTGATAATGTCTGAGAGCTTTTGGGGCATAGACACTTTTAGGGGAGGTACTGCTATGGAAATATGGGGGAGAAGTCTCGTAAAGGCAGGAGACCTCTTTCATCAGTAGAATTCAAGCCAAGACTTAACATCCTGGTTTTTACAAATGGGGACAGTGAGGTGAAATACTACCTCTTTGACTTTATTTTCTTGCATTTCTATTCACTGGCCTTTTCAGTTTCCACAATGGGAAATGGATAATACAAATGTTCCCTTAGCTTTGCTAGCGAAGAGGCCCTAATAGCTAGAGGAGGATGGGATGGGGCCAAAATGTGGTCACTTTGGGGGTCATTGTCAAAGTATTGCGCACAGACTGTTTGTGGTGTACCTCCCTCTGCTAGCCTGCTGTGCCCGGACTGCCACAGGGATTCATCCTGAATGCAGGCAGCATACCTGGACTCAGAAGGGTAAGAAGATGTGTATTCTGTATCAGGGACCTGTGGCCTGAGAGGGGCTTGTCTCTGAATCCCTCATGCTGGGGTCTGTGTGCTGTGCAAGTCACGCAGCTGACTTCCACCCCATTAAAACTTCCAGCCTTCTTCGCAGATGACTGCAGAGTTTTGAAACGAGAAGGTATGGGTACCCTGTGTCCTCCTTGGAACTGCTGCCGGGGAGGATAGCTTGCTGTACATCGTATCAATTTGCTCTCCTCTGTGCTAGAGTATTTTAACATCCCACGTGGGGAGTTGAAAGCCTCCTATCAGCAAATGTGTGTGTTCACAAATAACACTAGCTCTGGCTTGAAGCAAGTTTTGCTGCTGCTGTGTGCTAGGTTGAACCACTGGGGCTACATTAACACTAAAATTTTATTACAGTCGGTCTTGAACTTCCTAGCACAGTGCCCTGCTCCTTCTT